ATGGTATGAGGAACGTCAAACTTCCAATTCCACTGCTTCTGTTGCGCACACAGGCCCTTTGTTTGCTGGTCTCACTCACTCCACCTCTCATGGCCCTTGGGTCCTAGATTCTGGTGCTACCGATCATATTTCTGGTAATCGATCTTTTTTCTCCTCTCTTTCTACCTCTTCTTATTTACCCTCTATCACTATGGCTAATGGTTCTCGCGCCACATCTCATGGTGTTGGTACTGTCCATCTTTCTCCTTCTCTCTCCATTGACAATATTCTTTATGTCCCAGAGTCTCCCTTTAATTTATTATCCCTTAGTCGTCTTACTCGCTCTCTTGATTGTCTTATCTCTTTTACTAAAGATTCTGTTTTCTTACAAGACGGAGTTCGGGACGGATGATTGGCACCGGATGTGAGTCTCATGGCCTTTATCACCTACGCACCTCTGCTCCTGTTGGTTTGGTGGCAGATTCCCCTTCCCTCATCCATGCTCAATTAGGTCATCCTAGCCTTGCCAAGCTTCAACACCTTGTACCACGTCTGTCTAAGTTGTCTCATTTGTCGTGTGAGTCGTGTCAGTTAGGCAAACATAGTCGTAGTTCATTTTCTCCAAGTGTCCCCAACCGAGCGTTGTCTCCTTTTGCTTTAGTTCACTCGGATATTTGGGGGCCGAGTCGGGTCACGTCCACTTTAGGATTTCAGTATTTTGTAACTTTTATTGATGATTACTCTCGGTGTACTTGGCTATTTTTAATGAAATCTCGTTCCGAATTATTTTCCATATTTCAATCTTTTTATAATGAAATTCAAACTCAATTTGGTGTTTCTATTCGTACTTTTCGTAGTGATAATGCTCGTGAATACCTCTCTCACTCCTTTAAAGCCTTCATGGCTTCCCATGGCATTCTTTATCAGACTTCTTGTGCATATACCCCTCAACAAAATGGGGTGGCTGAGCGCAAAAATAGACACCTAATTGAGACCACTCGCACCCTCTTACTTCATGGTCACGTTCCTCAACCTTTTTGGGGTGATGCTGTTCTCACTGCATGCTATCTCATCAATCAAATGCCATCTTCTGTCTTCAACAATCAAATACCTCACTCTATTTTATTTCCCACTCAACCTCTCCACCCCCTACCCCCTCACGTCTTTGGATCTACATGTTTTGTCCATAATCACAGTCCTGGTCTTGACAAACTCTCCGCTCGGTCTCACAAATGTGTCTTTTTAGGGTATACTAGGTCTCAAAAGGGGTATAAATGTTTCTCACCCTCCCTTCGTCGCTACTTGATTTCAGCTGATGTCACCTTTCTTGAGTCTTCTCTCTACTTTTCATCTATTTCCTCTTCTCCTACACCTATCCTTGCCCCTTCACCCTTCCCTCTTGTCTTTGATACTCCTCCTGTGTCTGCTGTGTCACCCGACCCACCACCTCCGCCTCCACTTCAAATTTATCATCGTTGACAACGCTCCAACCTTCCCATTGGACCCCCACCCGACTCTACTTCGGTGCCACAACCTCCGTCTCATCCGGTCCCACCACTTGAGTCTGACCTCCCTATTGCCCTCAGGAAAGGTAATCGTTCTACTCGTAATCATTCTCCTCATTATATTACTCTGAGTTATCACCGGTTATCCCCATCCCTATATACTTGTCTCTCTTCTCTTTCCTCTATGTCTATTCCTAAAAATGTAGGAGATGCCTTGGCCCACCCTGGTTGGAGACAAGTGGGAAGGATTTGTATGGTGAAAAGTTCAGATGCACCATTAGTTTGGATGCACCGCTTAAGTTATGGGCTGGACATTGGGTCGGGTCGGTTATGGTGGATGCCTCGTAATAGGATCGGTTGGCCTTGGTGGGTAAATGAAATTGTGAGTTGGGTGTAGTCCATAAGGACAGGCCCAAGAGACTTGATCCAAGGCGCGCCCAAGACAATGTCAGCACCTCGTAAGGGAAGGATGTAGAAATTAACATGGAGGGTGTGCTCTTGAATTTGAATTTTGACATCAGGACAGAGGCGATCACAACGCAAGAGGCTGCTGCTACCAACCATAACGGTCAGGGGGTTGTAAGGGATTGAAGGGAGATCTAAGAATTTGGCTACCTGGTCTTGAATGCAATTGTGGTCGCTGCCACCGTCGACGAGAATGGAAACGGGGTTGTTGCGGATTTGGCCTTTGAGGCGTATGGTGGAGGAACCAACACCGCCAGTGAAGGCATGGAGGCTGACCTGGGAAGGGGTGTCGTCGAAAACGGGCTCTGGAAGAGGTGGGTCCAGGACCAAGGTAGGGTCAGGTGTAAAATCGTCCGCGATGGGGTCGTCGGTAGTTAAGAGGAAAAATTTACCCTTGCAACAGTGGGATGGGGTGAAGAGTTCGTCACAGTTATAGCAAAGGCCCTTTTCACGACGGGCAGCCATATCATCTGGGCTAAGGCGGCG